TATCCTAATTATATTTTAGATTTTTTATATTTAAAATAAGATGTTTATCCTGTATTTGATTGTATTTATCTGCAGTTAGTTACACGAATTCAGTTATGGGATGAAATCGGATAGGGATGAAAGGGTTTAAGAGTTTTAAGAGTTTAAGAGTTTTTAAGAGTTTTAGCCAAATGCATTATAATATAGTATAGATATAATAATTAAACATTCTGTTATAACTCAATGATTATCTTAATTATATTTTAGATATTCTATATTTAAAATGGATGTTTATCACGTATTTAAATATGTTTATCTACAGTTAGTTACACAAATTTAAAAATAAAGCTTTAATAAGTTGTACTTACACAAAATTATTTGTAATCTTGAATTTTAAGTAATATGTATCAATAAATAATATTTTATGCATAAAAATAATTTTTAAGAGTTTTTATCAAATACTTTGTAATATAGTATATATGTGTGTGTATCTCAATATTGGTTTTTTTTCACAGACAAAATAGACAGAAAGGCTAAAATAGGCCTTGATTTAAAGGAGTTAACGGATGTGTAAATCAAAAAGATTATAGTCAAACAAATTGAATATCACAAAGACCAAATCCACAATAAACATATCATAGAAATCCTAATAAAAAAAATATCAAAATATAAAGACCAAATCTACGATTCACTCTCGAAATGATGTTATTAATAATAAAACCTTAAATTTGGTGTAATATTTCATTTACATTAACTTTTTATATAAATATATTACACTAATCACATATAATTCACATTATAAAAAGCCCATGTAAATTAATTACTAAACTTTATTTAATATAATAAATACTTTAGTTATTATATAATGTATGAATATAAATTAAATAACCATGTATAACACAATTAAAACGGAGAATTGAAACTGAAACACCATATTTGATAGTTATGATGATATGACGTAAAAAAAAATTGAAGAAAATAACGAACGGGTGATAAAACTCATTGAAAATTTTGATAAATAGCGTCGTTGTCATTAGTTGCAAAAAAAAAATCAAAGTTTACATCATTTTTGTAAATTAAACCATGCAAAAAACTTTGTAACATGTTAAAAATGGTCTAATATTTAATGGTTATGTAACAATTTAAAAAATTATATAGTTTTTGTAATGGTTTTCAAACAATGATGATGTTACAAGGGTTTTAAGAGTTGTGCATTATTTGGCAAACATAAGTTAGAGGTTATTTGACAGTTGTTAAATGATTTGGTGCATAATGATTAAGTGGTCAGAATGATTAAAAGACTCTCATGATATAGTGCAAAATAAAATATAATTGTTCGGTAATTGTTTGCAATGGAATTAGGGTGCTGAATTGTTAAGGGAGACCCATGATACAAAGTTACTCAGAGGATTTTAGAATCATTAAGAGGTAAATCTTTTTTTTTTTTTTTGTCAAACAAGATTTACCTCTCAATGATTTAGAGATCGCCTCTTAATGTAACTATTAAGAGGTAAACAAACAACCTCTTGGTTTGTTTTTTGAATATATGTTTGGATGAACATAAACTAACTTATTGAAAAACTATTTGGATTAACTTTTTGGGAGCTTTTATCATTTTTGCCAATTATAACACTAATTAATACCAATTGTTATTAATTACTATTAAAATAAAAATTAATTATGAATAATATTACTAAATATTGATGATTAATTGTTAATTTATAGTAACTAATATTAAGTGAAAACTATCAGTTAATTTTAATTATACATTGTACGTTTTTTTTTCTATTAACCTGGATATCAAACCCGTTATAAGGGCTGACTAATATCAGGGCGACCATCTGTTTTGCAGATAGCCCGCGTAATACAGCGAGATACATTTTTATTTTAATGTTTTAATTTTTATATCTATTGATATAATACGATTTATGTGGTTTTGAGAAAGATAATGTTTTTACTTTTG